CCAGCATTAGAACTTTTAAGTCTTCCCAGCTCATGGCATTGGCTACTGGGAGAGATAACGACTTGACGTAGTCGTTCCACCAAGAGAGAGCCCTATCTAAGAAAGAGCATGCTGCAAATTTTACTTTGCTAGCTTTATGGCACGCACAAATTTCAAACACCGATTCGGTTTTCTCGAACCAGCGTGTTAGAGCAATCACACCTCCAATGTCATCGAAGGATTTGGGTTTTGCATTCGTAAAGTCTTTGTAAGAACACTCCCTTGGGTGTCCAAGGCTTTCCCCGTGATTAGAGTTCTGAGCACCACTGTCGGCCCCACTAGTACCACTGACGTTAATTTGCTTCATGGCGGCAGCCATAGCGGCGGTTACTGCTGCTTGGAAGATAGCAGGGTCATACTGTGGAGGTGGTGGAGTTGGTGGAGTATTGTTGAAACGCTTGTTTGATTTACATGGCGACACTTTTTCTATAAAGTTTAAAGAGGAAAAGATGATAAGTCCTCTATAGTATTTACGAGTCAGGTGATATTGAACAAGATATATCTTAGTTCTAAACGCATTATAACCTGGCTTTCATAGTGTTCTATGATTTACAATAGAAGTCTACTGATATAAGTAAACAATCGCCGATGTCATTTATAGCAACACGTGTAATGAATTTGTATAATGTATTCCATACCAGGTCCTCCTATAATCACTTAGTGTATACGAATTATATATAATCGAGACCAAATAGACCTTCGAATAAGTGATTCTACTCTAAGTCCACAACCAAACAAGGAATAGGAAGTAAAGCTAAATCACAAATTCTAAGTCTATAAGATCTTAGTTATATATGACTCTTATGTATACACTTAGTAATTATAGATCTACCAGTATAAGTCCTTTGTTTTCAAATTATTGATTCTAGTGAGAAAGACCTTCTTGAATATTGTTGTTCCAGTGTTATAGTGTCATAAAATACTCCTATAGTATTTTTAACTTTATGTTTGATTCTAGAGTTCTTCTGGTATATAGATTTGGTAAGTTTTAGACTTGTTGCAACACCACGATCACTCCCAAACACATGTTGGTCATATCTCGAATAAATATAGTTGATCAGGTTATATTTATCCCAGATAATATTACATAACTGTCTAGGTTTAACTGTAGTGTCCAACATCTAAATACTTTTATATAGTTCTCCCTATGATACTGTTTTTGGTATGTATGCATGTTAGTATACTTCTTATAAAATACTTAGATTTTAAAAGTATACTTTTAGTCAGAGCGTTTTAGCCCCATTGTATTTATAGTTGTATATCTTTTGTGGTTTGATATACTTAGTTCACTATAAACAATGATCTGATACCAATCTGTCACACCCCCAAACTGGAACGGCGGAAACGTTCGGGGGCGGATGATGTCATGTACAGTATCATAACAACTGTATAATAGTAATCAAAGTACAACAACGATTACATTGATAAAGCATAGTTTTACATTCGTGTTCAAAACAGTGTTTGTTTAACGAGAAAACCATAGCAAAAGATAAAAGACATGAGTCTATGAAGCTCCGTCTTCTCAAAACCTGTGGATACCTGTTTACTAATTTCTTAATAATACAAGTAGTTTTGAAAAGAGTGTCAACAATTAAGTTGGTGAGTACATAAGCATGTTTGTAACTGAAATCTGTTATTTTTTCAATGAGAATGTAAATATGTTTTCCCAGAAAAGCCTATATTTTCTGTTGTAATATGTTGTAGTCTTAATACCCTAAGACCAAAACGTGTAAATATTATTATACTCTGAGATAGTATAATGTATTTTTTAATTCACATAAAAACCATGAAAAGTATGTTTTCTCTGTAGTGGAATAGTATTCTGTATTTGTACTTGTATAAAAACTGTGTAATTGTAAGTGCCTGGATTCACCGGTTGTACTTGTAAAATACTGAATTATAGTTTTATTAATTAATAAAACTATGTGAAGTTGTTTACTTATTCATACACTAATCGTATTGTTCAATACCAAATTTTGAGTTATCATAACCATGCTTGATGAGTTAAGAGGGCCTGAACACGACGTTCTTCAGGCGTCGTAATCGGTACGACATTTGTCACCCCAGGCCTGCCGGCCTAGCTGTTGCAAGCAGCTCAGGTGCTGGATTGTCAGTCTCGTATAGATCTATACACAAGTGTCACCCTCTCCCTCCAGGAGACTCTGTTCAGGACTTGGTTGATACTTACATAAGTATGTGAAATGTGTCTCACAAATGCTATATTGACGGTTACGTGTAGAATAATGAAAAGTTACCTTGTAATGGATAAACTGTAAGTATATCTCATAAACTATATTTATTATAGTTTATATGTTTGTTTTCCATAATGTTTTCTGAGTATGTAAAGTAGTGCATATGATCTATAAACTCTACCTATTATAGTTTATATGTTGGTCTTCCGTATTGTATTCTGAACTTTGAAAAGTAATATGTAAGTTTCATAAACTATACCTATTATAGTTTATATGTTTGTGTTTTATTGAAACGAAAACATTTGTATTGTTAATAATTCGACAAGTTTAAATCATAAAATTCATTATACGGTTGTCCCGTGAGTTTCACATTTATGTCCAAATAGTACTAAAATAGATTGCAAAAATAATATTTTTGTTTAACAAGTTTTAAATGGTTTTATACTTATATAAATATAATATTTATATAATTATGATTAAATAGACAGTCGAATAAATAATTCTACCACAATCCCACAACCAAACAAGGAACAGGAAATGGAGCAAAATTATCAACTCTAAGCTTGTTGAACCTTAATTATATAATTTATATGTATATAATTATATGTTTTTAATAACGGCAACGATTGACAAAATATTGAAAACATTTAGATATTAACACAAAATTTATTGTGTTACACTTGTATTCCCCCCCCCCCCCCCCCCTAATACAATGAAAAATCATGAAAACGTAGGGGTATGAACTCACCTTGAGTGCGTGTTCTTAGTTAGGTACAGTGTGGTTGCGATAATCTTTGGATTAGGATACGTATACTTTCCAAATTCCTTATAATATATAAACACATAATATTGTGTTCACATTAGTAAATGAATATTAAGGTATTGTATATAAGTCACTAGATTAATGAAGGGTGCTTACTACGAATCCTTAAGAAAACTTTGAAGAACTGCTTTCTGGGATGAGTTTGAAGGTGTTCTTTGAATTGAAAGGAAAATACGTTTGATACTTGAGAGATAATAAGGAAATTTTTCGTTTACTGGATGTGTGAAATGAGGTATGATCTTAATATAGTATCTTAAGTATGAAGGAAACTTATGAGGCGGTGAATATGATGTCTATGGTGGTAATTGAATCATATCACATTAGGAAGCTAAATTTGGATAAGATATGAAGATATTTGAGGAGTTTCCTGTCAATTTGCAAGTGTTTGCGACCAAAATGAAAGGGATTTCGGTTTACATGACCGAAATCACAAAAATATAATCACGATATGTTGATTTCGGTCCTTAAGGTCAAATAGAAAAGGGTTTGTGGTCATAAAGTCCAATAGAAAAGTGTTTTCGGCCTAGGTCTTCTAGAAGGGTTTGATTTCGGTCCAAGGGTGGTCCATGAAGTGAGTTTTCGGTCTACACTTAGCTAAGGTCCCCATATGGCCGAAAACACAATGAAAATGGGAAATTCATGCTTTTTTACTTTACATCCTTGACTTATGTTGAATTGTATATTAAGTTATAAATGCATGGTTTTCAATATAAGTGTTTATAACTTATATATATATATATATATATATATATATATATATATATATATATATATATATATAAGTATGATTATCAAAATATGCAAATAAAATAACTTATATAAACATGCCCTTAAAGCATTCAAGTTGTCATTGTATAAATGCTATGATATGGATTTACTTGTATACGATTGTAGTTTAGACTTTTATTCGAATAAGTTCGACTTACATTGACTTGAAATAACGGGTTGTTACAATTATATTCAGAAATCGTCGATTATAGGGGCTCTTGGTAATGCAACCCGAAAAAGTTAAGTAGTCAACTACCTAAAGTGACGGCTTATACTAGTACAAAACTGGTCTTTGGCCACGCAAAAAACCTATCACTATATACATTTTATGACGGGTTTTTTTTCATTCAATGTGAAACGAAAAGTTCCATCATTAAAGATAAGTTATGGTGGCGTCTAATTGTGGGGCTATAACCCATAAAACCGTTACTATAGGTAAAATCCGTCACCATATGGTACCAATTTTTTTTAGTTTCTTTAATAATTTTTTGATAAAAATCATCATAAACTACTTTCCCTCACAAGTTGTTTTGTTTTCATGACTATTGATGACTTTCAGTGACAAGTAATATATTAAAACATTACCATAAACTAGTACTAATCACATGTTTTTTTTATTTGTCATGGCTATTGCTGACTTTTAGTGACATATAATATATTAAAACATTGCCATAAACTAGTATTAGTCACATGTTTTTTCAATTGTCATGACTATTTCTGACTTTTAGTAACACGTAATATATTAAAACATAACCATAAACTAGTATTAGTAACATGTTTTTTCATTTTTCATGGCAATTGTTGACATTTAGTGACACGTAGTATATTAAACTATAACCATAAACTACTTTTAATCACACGTTTTGTTCGTTTATCATGACTATTATTGACTTTTAATGACACATAAAATATTAAACGGTGACTATTATTAACATTTAGTCACACTTTTTTGTTTGTCATGACTATTCTGAAAAACTTAAATTTTTTTTTTTTTTTTTTAAACGGCAAATCTAACCTACTCCTAATCCACGACGGAACTTGAACCCTCAACCTCAAGAAAGGAGAGCAACACCGGATACCGCTAGGCTAGAAGCCCTTTGGTAGTCATTACTTAAAATCATTTATATGCCAAATATTGATCAATTAACATCATGTAAGTTAAACAACTTAAATTAATAATCATACTATACAAATTGTCTAATACATTAAAAATATATAATACAATATTACAATTACATACAAAATCTAATAAATGTTTAACAGCTTAGTTTAAAAAAAAACATTTGTTGGATTATCGAGAGATTGTTAAATTATCTCATAAAACCCGCCAATTGCTATTTAAGTTATGTTTGTCTTCGTTGTATTTCTATTTGCATCTTTGAATGCCTTTGAACTTGTTTATGTAATTCCCACACCTAAAAAATAGTAAGAGCAACATATAGAATTAGTAAATTTACTTTATTTATACCAATAATAACAATGTACTAACATATCTCTACCCATGGTAGCAATCTATTTGCATTTCCTACAAATAATAGCAATATGTAATTCGTGTCTGTTTAATTACTAAAATTTCTTACTTGGCATTATAAGAGATCTTGATCTGCATATACACAAAAATAATTACCAAGATCCTAGGCGACATTAAGACCTCTATGTCATTGCTCTTTCCATCTCCTTAAGCTCTCATCATCTTGAAATAACAACACAAATGTAATCAATGAAAGAAATATCAGCAACTGAACACACAAATATATTTACTTGTAAAAAAAAAGAATGAAAAGCTCAATGATAATTTTAATTCCAAAGGCTCCAACCATGACCACAAGTTCATCAGAAGATGTTTTTGTTTCTCATCTAACATGATGTTGATGTAGTATTCTGTGTCGTCAACATACTCCCTCAAGTAGACACAATTGGAAATTAATCAATACGGAAAATGATGATAATGTTTGATTATGGGTGGGGGTATATGATTATAACTAGATAAGATAAGAAACAAGTTTACTCGGTAACAATTGGGAAAAAAATTGTCCAGCCTAAGGCTAACAATTTATAAGTGTTGCAGAAGCTGTAAAAACCAGCACATATTTCATACCACTGAGAGCCTGCATATAACCTTCATCAGCACTGAGGTTAACCACACCAGGGGTAAAAATGTCCAGTTACTTGTATTCTGTAGTTTTCCCGACTGCAAAAACCAATAAAAATGCCAAGCATCAAATTCTTTTGAAAAATCACTTCCAACATATAAAGCAAATGCTGAAATCGAATTGTGCAACAACAAACTGAAAGAAAGCATGAAACTTAACTTTAGACTGCGTGGAGGAATCATGCTCAGAAATTGGACAGAGGTATTTGGAATTTACACATCCATTTCAAGATACTCATATCTGTTGGCCAAGATTATTGAGTCGTCCACTACCACATCAATTTCTTGTCCAGAAAAAATGTTGGATCGGAGCACAAAGCGCAAACCTCAGAAGAGAATACTAACCACCTGAGCTACATGCACATTGCTAAAAGAGATTTCCAATAAAAAAAACTATACAACATCAAGGAATCGGAGAGGATGCATCGGCAGGAAAGAAGGTTCAACCCTAGGGCAAAATAGTCAAAATATGAAACAAATAAGGGGACACTAACAAATCAACAAGGAATAGAAGGTAAACTGAGAATAGTGCTCTGCCAAGAATGTTCAAATCACGTACTCGGTACTCCTTATATGGTTTCTATGCTCTAATTCTTCTTCCCCATTCTTTGGTTCTCGTTCGCTCTCAGCACCAAAGCCTATCGTTTTCACCTTCTTTGTTACAGATTACACCAATTCAAGAAAAAGAAACACTCAAAACTTATGGCTAATATTGGATAAATAATGGAGGATTGAGAGTGTAGTACAAGTTCCTCATCTGGTGGATGTAACCTAAAATGGAATTGAGTGAAGAATCTGGTGGGGTGGAATTAATCGATCCCAGTAAGTCGATGGTGATGCGTCTCTCGGCTGGTGCAGCTGAAATAGATTAGGAATTTTTAACATATGGGAGAGTCTGAGGAGACAGGAGAACAACACCGATGGCGGAGGGGAATGACTGAACATATAGACTGTCGAGAGTGGTGATGGCCAATCGATCGTTGCCCATGTGTTTGTTTGGTAAGAGAGAGAATCCGACTTCCGACCAAAGGGAAAAGGCAGTCACAGAGAAAATGAGAGAGGATAATGTTTTTTTAAAAAATATTTAATTTTTGGAAAAGGGTGAAACTGTTAAAATTCTAGAGGAAAAACTGAATTTTTTGGATAACCAAAAAATTGAACTCCCTCCAAATTTTTGGTTCACTTTTTTAACATTCAACTGTGGAATGATATGTTTTTTTTTTCTTTTATTGTTACTATTTATTACTTTTACATACACATGAAAATTAAAACGTGACTACAAAATACTTTAATTACCTGTTTCGTATTTTTTTTAAATGTCATAAAAAAATATTTACGGTCACATGTTTTACTCTTTTATATTCAAAATCATTAAATTTAGACGTTCATATGAAATTAAACTGTCATCCTAAAACACTTATGGTCACATTTTTTAAATTTCATAATAAAATGCCTACAGTCACAATGATCTAATGTGAATATTGGCTAGTATTTATCACATTTTTATGTAAAACAGTGACGAAATGTGTGGACATAGTTTGCAATGGTGACGGTTTTCAGTTAATATGTACCTAAAACATTATTGAAATTTGATAATTGACCTTTAGTGACACAATTAACCAAATCTGTGACAACCATTTTTTCAAAAAGCATGACTATATGTCACTTTTGTACTATTGTTAGAGTAGTAAGAATTATAATAATTAGGATTGATAAAATATCCTAAAACATATTATAATGAATTACGATTGGTAATATATCCTAACAGTACATTAAGATAAGTTATGATTGGTAAAATATCCTAACAGTACAATAAGTCGGAATCAATAAAATATTCTAAGGAAAAAAATATAGAATATTTAAAGAACAGAAGAATCTTGGAAAGCTATGATATAAAAACCTTGGAAATAATAAAATATGATTTTATTCATAGATCCTAATACTTTTCAAAATGATTTTTATCGATATTTATATAAACTTATGAACTCACCAACATCAAGTTGATATTCTCAAAATCGCATGTATTCCTAAGATGATGTAAGGATCAATGCAAGGAAGGATGAGCAGCTCGAAGATAGATAGGTTTTATTCCATGTAATAGACATCAATTGTTAACAAAAAAAGGAAATTATAGTTTGTGCTTTGTGATTTGGGTAATCTATGAACCGTCGTTACCCCTTGGCATTTCCGTTGCCGGTCGGGGGAGGTGTGCCATTTGGACCTTCCATCGCTGAAGATTCCTCACATGTAAGTTCCACTTCGGTGGTCGAGGAGGAAAGCATGCCCTCTAATCCAACAATTATCACAACCATCAAAGTTCCAGTCTTGGAGGAATCCGTTCCGATCATTCTCAAACAATTGGAATTCGTTCCGATCATTCGCAACCAATCACATGTCTCTGAAGAGTCATAGGAATTTGTTCTCGTCATTCTCAACCAATTACATGTCTCTGCAGAGTTAGAAGAATCCGAAGAAGATGCTGAAGAGATAGAAAATAGAGATGAAGTACCCATAATTCCCACTGCTTCAGTCCAGGGGGAACCCTTCAGTTCGCAGGGGGAACCTTCATCAGTAGTTAAGCAACCAATTCCTACATTTCAAGACCTATCTGCTCGATGTTCACAAACCGAGGGGGAAGAATTTCAAGATGTTCAAATAAAAATGCCTCCGGAAGTTGAATACATTCCATCTAATGCAGTTACTAAACATCATCAAGCACGTCTACACTTCTAGACAAGAGATCATCCACCTTGCCAAATAATAGGAAGTCCTTATGCTGGTATTTTAACTAGATCATCCGAAGACCAAAACAAAAATTGTAACCAAAGTTGTGAAAAACGTTCAATGTTAGCTAGTCGGTGGGCTTCGGTTAAGAGATTAATCGGCTAGGATGGGAGTAATCAATGGACCATAAATTGCTAATTCGTTAAATTTTAAAAAATTAAATATGTCTAATATCGTAACAAAGTTCTTAACTACCACTAATATCATAACACAATAGGCTAATATGATTAATACATCACAAATCATTCCTGAAATAATTTCTATTGAGATAGAACTTCTTCAAACTGTTAAAATTGCATCGTTTTTCACAGTTTCACTCATTTTGTAGACATAGATTAAACATTAGGTGCCCTCTAGTCGGTTGGGTAGCGCCTAGGGATTAACCGAAGATTAATTAGACCCTGTCGGGATTTCTATAATAGTGATTGTCACTATGCAACATTCATGTCTTCTATTACGCCTAGAACAATCAAAGACGCACTTCAGGATCATGACTTGATTGTTGCAATGTACAAGGAGCTTGCAGAGTTCGAGAGAAAAAAAGTTTGGAAACTTGTTCCTAAGCCAAAGACGTATATTGTAGTCAGAATGTGATGGGTCTTTCATAACAAGTTGGATGAATCAGGTCTGGTAATAAGAAATCTAGATCTTGCTTACTACTGCTATATGTTGGAAAAAGTTGTGAAACGTCCCAAAAATATGACCCAAAAATTTCGTTTTTAATTTAATAAAAATAGTATTCCAAAAACATCATTGATACAGTCCAAATAAAATAAGTGTATCAAACATCATCTCAAATCAGAGTAAATCACAAAAGCGGAACTATGTGGTGTGTGCAATGCAGTCATCCCGAGCTTTTCCCCTTGGAACTAGAAGTACCTGAAACATAAACTGAAAACCGTAAGCACAAAGCTTAGTAAGTTTCCCAAACTACTCCATACCATACATAATAAATCACATGTTGGGCCCCCGCCCTCCATCGGGCTCCACCCTCCTTATGGCCCCGCCCAACATCGAGCCCCGCTCGGTATACATATTAGTTATTCTTAGGCCCCGCCTGACATCAGTCCCCGCCACTATACACATACAATATATATCACATAATCATGCTAACACATACAACAATAATAAAACAATAGCATACAATTCAGTCATCAGGTTGTTGGATTAGTGTCTAAGTCCATAACTATATTTGGTATGTACTTGACCCGAGAGTAGCATGGTCCATTTGGGTTGCATGGCACCGGAACAATCTGAAGGATGGATAATTGAGAAGAAATTATTTATGGTTTATTAATATATTATAGGTTCTAATATATTAATATGAAATCATATTATTTAATTAGTATTGATCAAAATTAATTTGGAATTAGTTTTGTGATCAAAAGAGACTAATTAAATATATGGGATTTGATTATGTAAATCATTCATTCTTATAATGTGGGCTTATGATCCATAGTTCTTTATGTTGGGCTAAACCCATGTGGTGACCCATAGATGATCCATGGAGGTTTAAACCCATGGAGCATGAGGAATATGGGAGGTCATGCACATTAGGGTTTACATGGTGTAACCCTAATTAAGCCACAATATATAAGAACCCCTCTATCTCATGAAATGGCTACTTAGTGGATACTAGTACATACACATGAGGGCTAGCCGATTTTATGAGTGCAAGTGACCTCCTCTCAAGTTCCTCTATTGTTGGTGGTGTTTTGTGATTCCATTTGAGGTGCAACACTTGGGGAACTAAGCTCTTAAAGGTTCAAGGCTTTCAACCACAACAAAAGGAATGTCATCTAACTAGAATTTAGTAGTATAGATACTCCATTGTATGCTAGTTAGGATGATGCTTTGGAAAATTGAAAGTTTGCATGCATATTAGAGAAAACATAGATCCAAAGCATCTAGGGTTGCATGTACACAATAGGAGTGTTAGAATGCTCAAAACCCTTCACAGGCCTCGTCCGTTATCAATCCCCGACCGTTATACATAGTAGCACATAACACATGCAAGAGTCACACAGACTCCTAGCATCCTAAAATAAACAATAAGGGCCAATATTGGTCCCTTAGACCCGCTAAAACAAGCGAGGAAACTCACCTCAATCGATAGATAAATGATCCTACACTCACTGCTGTTGCGAACCGACGAATCCCCAAGATATCAATACCAAATAACATCCAATTAATAATTGGATTCCAATCCATAGCTATCAGTCCATGATTAGGGTAAAAAGGCTATTTTACGCCTGACCTAGTTTGGACCAAGACTTAAGCCCAAACTGATAATCCAAAAGCCCAAAATCTACCTAACCGTTCAAGGCCCATACTTGGCCCAATTTTCCAAATTGTTCCCAAACACTTACATGGGCCTTACACTAAACCCCACCCATTCACCTGATCTAAAACACTTGCACTCAGATGGCCCAACAAAAGACATGCCCAACATGGAAGCCCAAAACACAAAACCCAACAGACCAAGTACGTGGGGCGTACTCAGCTGTACCCTAAGCATACACGCTAAATGGCTTGTACGTCGTGCGTATAGAATTATAGGCACAACGTACTAACCCATTAAGCCAAAATCCACATTAAATGCTTAATTCTTAAAACCAGAAGTCTAAACCACATATCTAATCCCTAATAAGTGTCTAGAACCATAAAGTCACTGACTTGGTGACTTTACATGCCCCAAAAGGACCCAACTTCAAGATATAACACTTTACTTTCACTAAATGGACATAATCATATGCATGGGTGATTCTAAACCCTAATTGTGCCAACTTTATGGACTTTGAACCTCAGAAACACCAAGAGTGGCAACTCATAGCTCCTGGAGTGGTGTCAAACCACTAGATCTCATTCATGGGGCCAAAAAGGGTCCAAACCTCATATAAACTAGATCTAAGCTTCTAATGAATAGAATCATAGGTTTTTACCTCAAATAAGTTGGAAATAGAGTAGAGAATCAGGATCCACAAGCTCTTCCTTGATCAACAACCTTGCACCAAACTCCTTCATCTTGATAATGAAACAAAACACACCAAGAATCACACAATAAGCTCAAAAACACAATGGAAAGGTCTAGGGTTTTGAAATAGGGTTATAAGGTCAGTGGAGGCTTTGAAATAAGGGTATCATGAGCCATAAGTGTGATTATATAGTGTCCAACCCCATAAATTAGGGTTTCAATAAATGACA